GCAGCAGCAGCGGATGCCACACTCCACGGCAGGTTTCCACCGGCAGTGGAGAGAGGATCTTCTCTTCCGTGCAACAGCACCTGCAGCGGATGATGCAGAAGCAGCAGCAGCAGCAGCAGCGGCAGCAGCAACAGCAGCTGCAGCAACAGCAGCTGCAGCAGCAGCAGCAGCAGCAGCAGCAGCAGCAGCAGCAAGAACAGGATCTGCTGCTGCGTGGGGCTGCTGGGCCCTGCCGCCTAAACCCATATGATGATTCAGCTCTGGGCAAATCAAAAGAAAGCCCCAGAACTTCTTTTACCTTTCTGCGTTCTGCATGCACTTCTCCAAGAACAGCTATTGGCAGCAGCAGCAGCAGCAGCAGCAGCAGCAGCAGCAGCAGCAGCAAATGCAGCATCCTCAGCAGCAGGAGCTTCAAGCAAACTTTGTTGAGAGAAACCGCAGACAGTGTACGGCCTGCAGCAGCCACAGAGCCGGCCGCAGCAGCAGCAGCAGCAACAACAGCAGCAGCAGCAGCAGCAACAACAACAACAACAGCAGCAGCAGCAGCAGCAGCAGCAGGGAAACCGCTGGACTGCCACCAAGAGAGGATCATCGTGCGGCACTCCTTCAGCAGCATCTCTAGCTGCACCCTCACAAGGAGCTCGCAAGCTCAAGACTACGACGCCCGAAGGGGCGGCAGCCTGCTGCAGCAGCAGCAGCAGCAGCAGCAGCTGCAGCAGCAGCAGCAGCAGCAGCAGCTGTCACATTGCTGCTGCAGCAAAAGGCAGAGACTTGCGCTGACTGCCTTTTGGCTCTTTAAGCAGCAACTTGAAATTTGGGCTGCAGCAGCAGCAAAGAAGCTCTGGGCGAAAGCAGCAGAGCCTGTGGGGCCACAGAGTTTGCTGCTGCTGCTGCTGCCTTTGCTGCTGCTGCTGCTGCTGCTGCTGGAGGCTCTTGTGGCTCGTCAGCAGCAAAACTCTCTGGCGCAGCAGCAAATGCAAAGGCCTGGAGTGTGGGGCTGCTGCAAAAGCCAGCAGCAAATCGCATAAAGTGCAAATATTGTTTTGCTGCTGCAGCAAAGCAGCAGCTTCGGGGGGCCCCCCGCGGCCTGGGGGCCCCCTTAAGGCTAACTACCATTTGGGGGGCCCCCAAAAGTGCTGCTAATATTTGTTTAAGAACTTCTTGCGGGGCTTTGGCCCGAAGCTGCCCCCTGTGGATTGCTGCACAGGCTCACCCAGGGGCCCCTGGGGGCCCCCAGGGGCCCCCTTAGGGGCCCCCTTAGGGGCCCCCTCAGGGGCCCCCTCAGGGGCCCCCCCTGGGGCCCCCCCTGGGGCCCCCCCCTGGGGCCCCCCCTGGGGCCCCCCCCTGGGGCCCCC